TTAAGAGGAATATTTACATAAAAATAAGCCTATGAAAACCTTTGTCTTTTTACAGGTAAAAAGAGTTTTCTTTCCAAAATCTTGTTTAATGAAATAACAGTACCCCGCCATTATTTTGTGTATTAGCAAAATGTTTCCTAGCTGTCATTTAAAGTTCTGGAATTCCTTGGCATTCTTTGAATACACAGAAGGAATTAGACCTGTACAAATAAACACTTTTTCCTAACTACACTGCCATCTTGAAACAAAATAGTTGAGATTTAGGTGTCAAAATAGTAAAATGAAAAATTCATAATATGACAATATAGATTTGCATGTGTTATTTGCACTGTTATTCCATAATAAACCCTCAGTAGTTATTGCATTGGTATGGTTATTTATATTGAAGGGGAATTAAATACCAGGAAAGGATGTCAAAAACAATAAATAGTAAGGAAGAAAGTAGAAGAAATATACAAAAGGAACTGTTTTGCATTATGTGAAGAGGAAAACTAAAAAGCAATGTAATCAGAGGTTTTATATGAAAAGTGACTGTTCTAAATCTTGGAGGGAAGGATGAAAGTGGAATTCAAACATCTATTACTTATTGATTGTAGTAAAGTTAAAGGAAATTAGTGGAGACTGTGCTGCGATCATGGAAAAGATTTTCATGAAAGTGCTTCAGCTACCTGCAGTGGATAAGCTGTATTATAAAGATCAGAAGGAACAGCAGAGATAAAACTTCAAATATGAGCAAGCAAAATATAAAATGTAGTGATTATCTACATGGGGGAAGGAGAAATTTATAGTTATGTCACAGATCCACAACTTCTCTGCCAGTTTTGGTAACATCACAAAGAAGAAAAAAGAGAGCATCCTAGACTGCATTTTTTTTTTTCAGTCCATTTCTGTTTAAGCATTTTCTTCTATCTTCATCTGTTATTTTATGAATGGAGATATCCCAGCTCTGCTGAAATGATGGTCTTTCTTCCAAATTCAATCAATCAGTGTGTTGGACCATAAACCTGAGCCTTTTGCGGCACACAGTGTTAGTCTGAAGGAGATCTACAGTGAACTTGTTAATGGACGTTTCCTTTCAGAAGTACAACATGTGAAGCTGTTGTCAGTGGGAGCTGCAGGGTGATCCCTGTGAGAAGGGGCTGGGGCTGCCCTGTGGTGGACACAGCTGTTTCCAGTTGAACCCACCACTGGACGAAGCCCACTGCACCATCCCAGTGTTCTTACATGTACATGGAAATGAGCTTTGCATTAACAGCCCATGTGTCAATGTGCCCCATAACAAACCAGTGATCCACATCATCCAAAGATTAGTATCCACAGGTCAGAGTGCAGAGATCAGATGAAGCCTGGATATAGAACGTATCCTAAGAAGGAGTTAAAGTCAAGAGACATTCCCTCCATCTTGTATATGTATTGTTGCTTCTTTATATAATTAAATTATATCATCATTTATCAATTATAATTCCACTTTAAGGAAAGGATGTGATTAGACGACAGGATGAAACAGGTGACAGGAGAAATTTCCTAGGTTTTTAAACCTTATCGACAGTCAGTTCAGGAACAAGATGACCTTTAATCTTACCTAAGACAGGTGAAACAGAGAAGAAATTTGAAAACAAATGGAATATCTGAAATGGAAAATTCTTGACAAATTTGATCTTTGGTGCATTACATCCTATGTGTACTCACATGCCATAAATAAATGTGTTCATATAAATTAATATAGTGATTTAAATGTGATGTGTTAAAAGGGTAAGTCATTGTCACTGTGCTGGCCCTCCAACAGTCTTCATATTTTTTACCATAAGCCTTTGGAAAGTTTGGAGATTTTTCCTCCAATTGTTTGCTTCCACTGCCTTTTGACTTCAGTGCTACATGATAATACCCGGCAGGTATATTTAGTTGTCATTGACAAAAATCCCTGGTGATATATTTAGTATATATAGTTGGCATTGGTAAAAATACATGGTGATTTACGTAGTCAGTTACTTGTTCTATCTTTAAATAATTTATAATCTGGTATGCTCTGATCCAGTTAATTATCAGACTTAGTAATAAAATACAGTACAGATAAACTTTAATTTGGCTTGACACTTCAAATGAAAAAGTTGTAAAATGTGTCTTTGGTTTTTAGTAGCTATGAAAAAAAATTGATCTCCAGCTAGCAATGAAGTCATGCTTGAGGTCTATATTTCCTAACTGACAGATTTTAATGATATATATATATATATATATGAGGTTTAAGGTAAAATTGAGAAAAGCATCTCAATGGTTTTGCAGCCTAAGTGTCACTGAAAGTCAGTTTATATCTTTCTGTTCTAAAAAGATCTGCATGCAAACCTGCTCTCTACTCCTTTGACCTGAAAAAATATTTTGATGAATGTAGCACTTCCCACTACTTGATAAATTTCAAGGTGATTAAATCAAAACTTCCAATAATTGAAGGAAGTTAAGTACTATTCTTCTAACACTACAGATGGAAAGCCCTCAAGCTTTTTTTCTGTACACATGACCATATGGTAAGTTTTGAAGGCTACCAGACCAGTACGGCTTCTGAGTCAGGATGGCTTAAAGTGGTCTAGAGGATACTTTTAGAGAATACACCTATCACCAGTCTTCTGTCTTTTTGAACAGAAGCCTGATTTATTCTGATGGAAAGAAGCTCATTCTTTGAAGACATATGTGATCTTTCAAGTAAGACAGTTCTGAACTGCATTTCTTGCTCAACTGTTAACCAGGAAAGAACTATTCATGCAGTAAATTGGATTAGGGTAAATTATTAATAAAATATCTTAGCTTGGTTTTATTTTATATGTTTTCTTTTTTTAAAAAAAAGAACAACCTATGCCTTCCCTTTATGTCCACACCCAATTTGTAGAAAAGCTGACTGCCAATTAAATCATTCAGTTCTGTTATCAGTCTTCCTTGCTTCTGAAGTGTTTGACATGTTTCCTGAAATCAAAATTTTCCTCCTCCTTCTCTTTCTTGGCAGGGAATTTAGTTCTCAGGCGTGTATTTATTTATTTATTGTTCCCACATGAAAATATGGTAGCATAGTAGCACTTCAGTTGCTGACATTCTCCATACATTCTTGAAAACACCTGTAGTCCATCAATTATACTGTCCATGGAGTAGAAATTGTGTAAAGTTTGCCTGCAGTTATAGTGTATTTTGAAAATTTTACAGACCTAATTGCTTTACGATTGTTGTACAATGTCTTCAAAACCTTGTGGATAAATTTATAGACTGTTTGTTCATCTGGGACAAAAAAAAAATAAAAATAAAAAAATCAAAGCAGCATAACCAAAAATATCTTGAGACAAACAGCAGTGGGTAATACAAGAATTCTGAGCATACTATTGCAGCAGCCATTAATTTGTTTTGAATAAATGGTAGGTTAGTAGCCTTAGTCTAAGAAATAATTTTACATGGTCATTGAACATAACGCAACACGTTGTTGCCGTAGACTTTGTTCTTGAGGTTCTTGAAGTTTTAACAGTTTAAGATCAGTTAAGCATCTTTTGTTTTCTCTCAAAATCAAAGGCATGCTATCAAGTTTTCTGTTGGGGGAAAATCCTGAAAAAATATAATCAATATTAAATGTTTACTGAAAGCTAATTAAAAACAACTAAATACTCTAAGTAAAAACGATTTTATTTACTCCAACTGTAGACGTTTTAGTTGCACAATAGCTTTAATTCTGTTTGGATGTGGCAGGTGCAGATAGCTATTCCTGGAGGTGCAGCATGGCATTTGCTGGCAGAGATAGTCCCTTCCCCTCAGGACCGTCAATGTCCTGCGCTGTCTCCAGCGGTGCACAGCAGCCGCGGGCAGACATTTTCAGTGCGCTGCTTAAGCAGCCGTGCCTGCTTGCCGATGCTCTGATCACATCCTCAGGGGAGATGCTGTCTCGCAGCTCCAGCACGGGCATGCTGCCGAGGCCACACCCCGTTAGCAGGGCACCTCCCCGGTCCCCGCAGAGAGTTGGCAGGCCGGGGAACACGGGGAGAGGGACAGAGACCGGTGAAGCCGTTCCGTGCCCGATGGGGCGGGAGGCCGAGGGCAGCGCCGGCGCCTCGGGCTGGCCGCGATTTCAGCGCCACAGACAGTGTCGGACGCGGCTTCAGCACCACGGACAGCGCTCGTCCGGGTGGTTCGGCACCACGGACAGCGCCTGTGGTGTTTCAGCACCTCGGACAGCGTCCGCGGGGGTTCAGCACCACGGACAGCGCCCGCCTCGGTCGGGTGTGGGCGCCACGTTCCGGCGAGAGACATGAGGACACGGACAGATGGACAGCCACGGTCCCAGGCGGGCGTGCACAGCCCCAGAGCCCCCCACGCAGCCGCAGGTGTGCCCACGCGGAGAGGCACGCCGAGACACAGGGGGGCAGGCAGGCGCACGGTCGTCTCTCCCGCACAGACACAAGATACCCGCGCACGCACCCGCACCTCCACCGCAGCACACGTGCTCGTGCTCCCCGCGGGCACCCCCGGGAAGCAGGGCCACGGACACAGCGGCGCGGCCAAGACACAGGCACACTCAGTGGCACACGCATGCACACACCCATACCCCACATGCTCCCGCAGGCTCCCACGGCCACGCACGGCCACTCGAACACACACACGAACACACACACACACACACACACACACACATACACACACCCATCCATACACACAAACACACACGCGCACACACCCGCACCCCCAGCCCCGCGCCCTCCTCCCCGGCGCTCCTCCCACCCCCGGCGCCAGCTAATAGCGGCGCCGATCTGCCCCGCGGGGTCCCGCCCCTCCGAGGCGTCCCCCACCAATTGCAGCGCCGCGGGGCGGGGGGTCCCCCTCGCCCCGCCTCCCTAGTTAAGGCGGCCGGGGGGAGCGGGTTGCTCACTGGCGGGCGGGGAGGAGGAGGAGGAGGACGAAGAGGAAGGGGGGGGGGGGGCCGGGTGGGAACGAGCAGTGCGAGGCGCACGGAGCCCGGCAAGCGTACGGCCCCCGCCCCCCGCGCAGTGAGGGGGGGAGGCGGCGCCGGGGGGGGGCGAGGGCAGCGCCCCGCCGCGGGAGGGGGCGGCTGGGGCTGCGCCGCGCTACGCACCTGCGGGGCGCCGAGCGAGGCGGGCGAGGAGGAGGAGGGAGAAGAAGAAGAGCAGGAGGAGGAGGAGGCAGCGGCCAGAGGCGCGGAGCCAGCCGGCGGCCGCGCAGCCCGCCCCCGGCTTGGCCAGCCGGCGCGGCCCCGAGGAGATGGAGCAGGAGAAGTACCTGCCCGAGCTGATGGCAGAGAAGGACAGCCTGGATCCCTCCTTTGTTCACGCCATGCGCCTGCTTGCCGACGGTAAGGCTCCGCTGCCGCCCGACGCGGCCCAACGCCCCCTATCCCATCCCATCCCATCCCGTTCCCTCCCAATCCCATCCCATCCCCGGGGGGTTCCCGCGGAGCCTCCCTGGTGGGAGCGGCGACCGGCGGTTTCCCTGGTGGGGCTGGGCAGGCAGGGCTTGCGGGGCTCCCGATTGCGTTTTAGGGCTCCTCTTTCTCTGGGAGCTCATCGCGGCTTGTTCCCCGGGTTCGAGGAACGAGGCTGTGGTGCTGCTGGCGCTATTGAGCCTCTCATAGGGCACTGCGATGAGCGCTGGTGGCATGTGGCTCATCAGCTTCGCGGCACAGTTTTGCCCAGGACGTGATGATCTTCGTTTGGATTCATGTTGTGATCTGGGATATGCTGCTTGTACCGTTTGGCTCTGCGCTCTAGTTAATCCTGCCCACCTCACTTTGGTCGAACTGGTTCAGGGAATATTTAGAAAGTTTGCAATTTCGTGGGTTTTTAGACAACTGCTCGGTGTAGTTATTGAATGTAGGCCTTGTAGTACAGTGCCTCAACTTCCACAGAAGTGTAACCCAGTGAGTTCCCCTCACACTTCTCTGTTTCTTCTGAGGCCCCTAGTAGTCATTTAAAAAATCCCTGTTAAATCTGGAAAAGAAGTGACAAAGGACGATACATAAAGCAAGACAAGCTATTGAGCCTTTAGATGAGATCAAGGCAAGAAACCTACGGATAGGCCCTTGAGGGAGTCACAAATTCAAATCACCTCAGTCAGGAGAAGTGAATGACTTCCAAAGTTCTGTTACGTTTTAGGTACAATCAAACTATTTAAAACTTATTATGCTGGCAGTAAATGTCCTTCCCTGTGTCAGCAGTCTGTGAATTGTCTTCCTTAAATACCTGTTCTATTGATTGTGAATGAATGTACTGAATGTCCAGGTTTTATTGGAGTGCTCCTGTTTGATAGCTCAGAAATTCAGGGTGAACAAATACATGTTCTGTGAACCTTTTTAATAACTATCTTGCTGCTGAAGCGACAGATGTATTACTTTTTATGGTTGTTTTTCTAATAAAACTACAAGAAACATAAAAGTCTGTATTTCCTACAGGGGTGTAGTTTTTGCACCTTGCAGTTTAGTCTTTTCCCAGAGGGGGGAGGTATCTGCTGAGTGTATGCATGCAAAAGATAGAAAATGCATGAAGGACATCATTGAAAGTGTGCAAAGTAAAGTTTTTAAAATAAACAAGACCAAAATGAGTATTTCTAGGAGTCAGATCCATGCAGAAATTGTATTTTGAGCAAATGTGAGACTGAATAAAAGATTAATCTTCTGTTTTCCTCTTAAGATAACGAGGACTAGGTATATGTGGATTTTTAAAAGATGAAGGTGAGCTGTCTGTGGAAGCTGTAGGGAATGCTAATGTCAGATTCACACCAGATACCTGGCATTATCCTTCAAAACACCATCTGTCAAGCTTTCTAGAGATTCATTTTAGAGTCTAACATATGATACCTATTGAAACAGTTTCACTAAAGTAAGAGTATAACTAGTTAAGGAAACGAATGAATGCACTGGATGCTGCTGGGTATAAATAGAAAGAAAATGCATGGAAAAAGCAGAATTTTTCTGATGCCAGAAACTAGGTGCAAGGATCTCTGTAATACTGTATTTCAATGATGTGTTAGCAATGAAATGATGCTTCTGGGCTTCTATTCTTTAAAAAATACTACGTGAGCAGTTACATCACAATTGCAACTAGGTGTTGCTTTTGTGGTGTACTAAACTGTCATGATTGCCAGTAGATTTTGTATAAAATGTGTAAGTGTAGCTTTGAAGGTTTTGGCTTCAGAGCTGAGAGCCTCAAGCTTTCACTCTGGCTTGAAGTGCTGTGATTTTTCATGTCAGCAGCTAGAACCTGGAGTTGAGAGGATTCGTGCTGCTATGTGAAAACACAAAAGGGCAAGTAGACATTACAGAAACATGGCTTCAATTATGACACTAGATTTACTTGTAAAGATAAAACCTCACTTTTTCTCCACAATAATTCTTTGCTTCATTATGCTTATTTTAAAAACAAATTTTTTACGGTTTTTGAAATCTAGGTCTGTGTGTCTGTGTTCTGCAGGTTGACCAGTGTCAGATGCCTATTTGAATCAGTAGATATTTAACCCTCACCACTGAAAGATGATGTGTAGAAGTAATTTACATTAGTCCCTATTAGGCTAGAAACTGCCTTTTGGAATGTATGGTGAAACCCACAGAACAGGGATGCTTCCTGAGGCAGGGAATGCACATGCTTATCAGACAACAAACAAAGGTGAGAAAAGAGGTATTAGTGCTACTTATGTATAAAGTGTGAATCGTAAAACACAACTTCTCTAAAAATCACAGGTGAATTCTGAAAATGAACCCAGACTCTTAATGACCAAATGAATACCTGAGCCAGAAGATGTTATCCCTCACTGCACCCCCGCATCCCACCCCCCCCCCCCCCAGTCATTACCTGTTTTGTGTAGGAATAGCTCCTAGTATACTATGATCATTTCATAATTAGAAATTGAAAAGCCATTTATATTTCCTATTAGAAGGATGTGTGTGATGTGGATGGATGGTGATCTTTTGCCTCTGTGTGCATTAGTTTAAAAAAAAAAAAACAAACAACTTTTTGCAAAACGCATTGAGCATTTATACTTATACTATGATCCAGTCAGCAATAGAACCAAAAGACCTCTTCTAATCGTAACTGGTTACCAAAACCTGAAGGATAGGCAAATCTTTGCTCTTTGGAGAGGGTTTTTCTATTTTAGTTGTAATATTCTGTGTAGCAGATTGTTTCATGTTTGTGCCTGGAAGAGATAGATGAAAGAATCACACTGTTTTGTGGATAGTTTTAAACGATTTTATTGTAAACTGCTTTTTTTTTTTTTTTTTCTTAAGTAAGATCATACTGCTTCTACTGATGGAATCTGTCCACACATGCTAGATCAGGATAAATACTTGGTCAGATGAAAAATGTCAAAGTGAGGATAGCATCTTTGAGCAGTACCTTTTGTGCGTGAGTTGTGTTTGTCCACAGCACAATCTCAAGATCCAGCCATATTTCAGAGCTGTTCTGGTGCTACATCCCACTGCAGTCCCTAACAAGTGACTGACATACACTGTTTTTGCGTATATGTAAATCACTTTTAATAAAAAGTGTCAGTTAAGCTGCTTATATGTTGCCTGGGACAAGCCAACTTTATATTTGTAAATGTGACTTTGGAAATCTCGTACTGTATATTATTAAAGCCATATCTTTGTTTTCTTCTACAAACACATAGGAGAAAGACCTATTGGAAAGAGCTAACTAAAGAAAGATCATCTCTCCCCCTGGAAATATCAGCATTACTCGGGTAATGAGGTAGCTAATTTCTCTCTATGTAATGACAGTACAATTGACCTCAAATTGTCAGTTGGCATTCTGAAGGCAATGAGAGCCAGGCCTTTAGCTCTAAACTTGAGTTAAGTCCCTAGATTATTCCATGTGGCATAGCATGAGTTTGTTAAACCTCCAGTCACGTCAGTTAGATTCATATAGCTCAGCTTCATAAAGCTCCTTGTAGGACAGGGCATGATTATTTAAAAGATGTATAATTACTTAACATTTACACCCAGTGAGCATTAGTAATGTCTTTCATACAACAAGGCTGCAACAATTGTTCTAGCTAGCCTGAAAACTGCTGATGTAATGTCTTATGTTCAGGATTTCAACTGATATTTTTATGTACGTTGAACTTCTTTTATTTTGGGGACTTTTGGAGATTAATTTGCTTTTCATATGCGAATGCAGATTTCGTTCATAATCGTATGTTTCTATTAAAAACCTTGGGGAAGTTTTAAGGTCACATGAGAGTTATTTATCTTGGTGATGTAGAAAATTAAGGTTGTATCCTTAGCCTAAGATGTGAAAGGCTCTTGGTCAAACCTGTCACCTGCGAAAGTCAGGCCTCTGATACTTTTTTAGTTTGCTGCAACAAACTACTTGTGAAAAGATACTTACGGATTTTATTAGCTTACTGTCTATTCAAGTCTTTGAAGTAAAATAAGATTAATATCAAATGTTAATGTAAATACATAGATTAATATTAATTTGTGAGCCATCAGTTTTCTGCTTATTGTGTTGCTTTTTTTCCTGATGCTTATATCTGATGAGAAGAAATCTGTGTTCACAGAACACTTTATATTAATCATTGTTTACTTTGCTGTCCCACAAAATGCAATGTGAATGACTGGAAAGTTGACTCAGGAAATGTGCTGATGTTTAGAGCCTGTATTTCAGAAATCAGTTTCATTAAAAAATAGATTTCCAGAGCTATTATTTGGATCTTATTCAGTAAAAGGGGATAACAGTGCGAACTCTAGATGAATACAAGGTACTTATTTCAGTAAAGCAGCTATGTGCTAGGTATCAGAGTCAATTCAAAACTTATTGAAGTTAATAGGAATCTTTCTGTTGCCATTTGTGGGCTAGCTGGCAGTCCTTACATAAATACGATGTATTAATTGATGCACTTCATATATATGGAATAATGAAAAAGGATATTCTGTCACTAGTGCTGACTTTTGAAATGAATGTATGTTTCAGTCTTTGTTTTTTTAAAAGGAAAATTGTTGTTTTACTGTGGTATGACAGCATGGTGCGTGTTCATAATCTTAAGGAAATGGTCTGGTCTTGCAGAATGCAATGTAGATAAGTCCCAGGGGATAACTGGTTTTAGCAAAAACAACATAGCATAAAATATTAGACTGAGTAAATTAAAGCAACCTTTGTGAGTTTATGTTGACCCTACACTGTTAGTCACAAAAGCTAGGCTTCTTGGGGGTGGGGATGAGGGGAACATATTACAAAAAAAAAAAAAAACAACCCTCTACCTTGCAGAGATCTGAAGCAGTGTTTAGGACCATTTGATCTGTGATCTTAGAAAGCACATCCTTTGAAACACAGTAAATTTCATTACAAAGAAGGAACTATA